TTAATAATAGTGGTCTTGAAGTATTAGCTTGATATAATTGAATGGTTGAGGGAGACGGTGATGATGACTTCTAGTAAAACAAAATTTGAATTTCTTTGTAGGAAAAGTAGAAAGTATACGCAGTTCTAAATCTGGCAGGAAATGGGAGAGTTACTCATTAAAAAAAAATGCAAGTTTATTGGAATATAGTAGTGTGAGATACCAGTTGAATAGATGAAACTTCTTTCTAAAAAAATTTTTATTTAAAAGTAGATTAAGCCAGGCTTGGTGGCTCAGCCTGTAATCCCATGCCTTTGGGAGGCTGAGGTGAGTGGACTGCCTGAGCCCACGGGTTCAAGACCCGCCTGGGTAACTTGGCGAGACCTCATCTCTACAATAAATCAAAAAAAAACTAGCCGGGCGTGGTAGCATGTGCCTGTAATTCCAGCTACTTGGAAGGCTGAAGCGGAAGGATCACCGGAGCCCAGCAGGTCGAGGCAGCGGTGGCCGGGAGCGGCCACTGCACTTCAGTCTGGGCAAGAGAGCGAGACTCCAGCTCAAAAAAAAAAAAAAAAAAAAAAGTAGAGTAAGCCAGGCTCGGTGGCTCAGCCTGTAATCCCAGCACTTTGGGAGGCTGAAGTGAATGGACTGCCTGAGCCTTCGAGTTCGAGACCCACCTGGGCAACTTGGCGAGACCTCGTCTCTACAATAAGTCAAAAATTAGCCAGGCGTGGTAGCGTGTGCCTGTAGTTCCAGCTACTTGGAAGGCTGAGGCGAAGGATCGCCGGAGCCCAGTAGGTCGAGGCTACAGTGGCCGGGAGTGTCTGGGTGACAGAGTGAGACTCCAACTCAAAAAAAGTGAGACTCCAACTCAAAAAAAAAAACCAAAAACAAAAACCCAAAAGTAAATTAGAGAGAGAAAGAGAAGGGAGAGAGAAAATTCACCTCCCCAAGGTGGGGGAGGAAGCATGGCGACAGCCATAGCTCAAAGAGCACCTGGCCACACCAGAGTCTAGCAAGGCAATGGTCCAGATGAAACTTTTTAAAAAGTTTCAGATGAACCTCATCAATGAATGATGACTGTGTAGTGAGTGAGAACCTGAAAATGAGAACACGTGATACTACAATAAAAGCTTCTACTGCGGAGACGATGTTGACACATTCAGTAACTAATGGAGCACACGTCTGCAACATAAATTTGCACCCTACATGATAGTTAATTCAGGGAGTCCCATGAGTAGGAATGGTAGGAAGGCACTTTATCACAAGAGCTAAAAAGCTAAGTCGCTACCAGTAATTGAGAAAGAGGAGGAAATACATGTTTCTAATAATCCTGTCAAATGTTTGTTTTGGAATGTGTTATTGTAAAGACGTGAAGCAGTACTTGTGTATCACTGTTTGTTGCAAAATGTAATTAATACTTTGCTCAGGGCTCACTCTCTTTGCCATTAAGTCCAGATCATTGTGATGAGATAAGGTGGAATTCCAATAAAGAAATTCCTTAAATTAAAAAAAAGTCCTTAAATTAAAAAAAAAGAAAGAACTTACATAAATAAGCAGAATAAATGAAAACGGAGTCCGGTACCTGTTAGTAAATACAAACGCAAGCCCAAGAGGGCTGGGTTCACTTATTCTAGAAGCTTTTTTGATGCTTCCTGAGTGCCAGGTGCTGCACTAGGTATTGGATCTAGAATCATCTGAAGCCATCTGTCTCAACGTAATCACTCCACTTCCGTTCTTCTATTCCCCTCTCAAAAACAAAACGACACATTTTTAGAATCAGTACCCTGTTGTTATAATGAGGCAGTTCTAGTGACTCAATCTTTCCATAACATCCTTTATCAGCACCTCAACTATCGTGTTTTTCTAAGGGTCAGGAGACAGCAATGAGTTATTGCCCATGGCACAAGTGAGACACAGATAAATCTCACTCAACAAGTAAAAACATGATTTTGCCCAAATATGCTCCTTCAGATCAGGCAGGTAATGTTACAGATGTGGAATAGATACTTATAAAAAGTAATAACCTTCCTTTATATTGCTTATAGAACTCTATATTTGTCTACTGTTCTTTTGGCAAAGCCCTGGCTTTTATTCTATTTTCAATTCTCTATATTTTCTGATTATGCATATTAAAAATAACTACACAATGTAGAAAACACAAAGAAAAAAACAAAGAAAACAAACTCGCTTAATTCCCATAACTAGAGAAAATAACTACCGGCATATTGTTATGTATCTCTCTTTTACTATACATCCATTACCATTTCTTGTCCATAAACTTTTTGTTTTGACGCTCTGTGTGTTCCCTGGATTACTTTTTTAACACGTATGGATTCATCCCACATCTGTAAGTGCAATTTGCAGGCCTCTCACCCGAAATCTAGGCCCTTCTAAGACATATCTACTTGGCACTTCAAAAAACACCTCCAAACACAGTCTTACGCTTCTCTTTCTCCTTTTTAGCTTTCTACTTTTCTCAATTTGGGGCTCTGTTTTTTTTCCTCCCACACATACCACGCTGATCCCCGAATGCTGCTGTTTCTGTGAGCAAAGTCTCCCTTAAGACCTCCAGCCTCAGACCAGCCCAGCCTGCCTTATCAAGGGACTCCTCAACGGAAAACAAACATACACATCAAAGAAAGGTAGATAATTTCATTTGTTATCAAACAACAACGGCTCCCCACTGACTATACGATCAAGTCCCATCCTTCCCAGGCCAACAAGATTCTTTCACTTTCTCGTCTCCTCCCGCCCCCGCCCCCCCCAGACTAGAGCCAACAAAACAAAGAACTGGACCTGGGATGATCTTGAGTCTGACGCTCCACCTAGTGGAACAAAACACACACTGGAATGGGACCATTGTGAGACCAAGCAACCCTGCCCAGCTGGGAGTTTGTGGCTCCACAGTCAAGAGTCGGAAAGGCCCAAGGAATCCTGGAGTTCAATGACCCACCTAGAGGCATCCTCTCAGCACCGCAGTCTCCTGAGGAAATGCCTCAAGTCTCCAAGCCAGTTGCCATCATTGCCATTCTTGAGAGAAGATGACAAGCTATAAAGGCATTTCTTTAGTCATTGCTACCAAATGCAATCACAGGATAACTCTGACCCAATGACTATACCCAAAGACTACACCCTTGACCTACACCCTTCCAGAATTTTCTTGAAACTGAAAAAATAAAACATGAGCATTCATTCATCCATGTATTAATTCATTCAATGCACATTTAAAGACCACTGCACCTAAAATGCTTCAAATACTTCACAAAGCTAATACTAAGGGTCTAAATCCCCGCAGACTGTGCATGGGGAATCAGATACATCCATGATAACAACGCAGAAGGGAAGTCTAACCTGGACAGGGGCAGGGAGGGCTTCCTGAAAGAAATGATGACTCAGCTGATTACGTTAAGTCAAGTAAGAGCTAGTCAGGTAAAGAAAGAGTGAAGGGTATTGTTTCAGACTCACTGTTAAACTTGCAAAAGAGCATACCACATTAAAAGGCTATCCTAACACAGTAAAAAAAGACAGGAGATTCAATTTTCCTTAGTCTTCTTCCTCTTTTGGATAAAACTCAATACTTTAAATTTTAAGAGGAGGTGTATTAATAACAGAAGTCTCTTTCAACAGGTTGACAGTTACAGCTTTTTATGAAATGCTGAAACTGTTGAGATGAAAAGCCCCCATGAAGGTACAATACGCAATTGTCTTAGCCTGCCGTAATGCTACAGACCACATGCTTGCAGCTGCAGATCGCTCACCCGCCTTGTGGGAGCCATGTCAGCAGAGCAGCACTCATTACCACCTCAGGGCTGTCTATTTGATCTTCAGTGAGCACTGCTGGAAAGTTACATTATACACGGACACAAGGTATGTCTCCCTGTACCTCTTGCATGAACTGGGACCAAGTTTAGGGCCCCCCAGAACAAGTTTCATTGTGCAGTCACAAGAGCACATTTCCTACACCGTTATTTGCACCATGTTCACAAAGACCTCCCTGGGTTTTCTCTCCCTTTGCCCAGCAGCCTTGAGTATGCCGTCACCTGTATGCCACCTCAGGTTCTGACTCCTGGTACCCTTTATTTATTTTATTTATGTGCGTTCTCTTTGGAACCTACTCTATGCTTGGATGTGATAGAACAGTAGGTGTGAGATGGATGATTCAAGCAAAGCCAGATATGCCACTTCTGCTAGCACAGTTTCAGATGCAGTGGCTATTCCAAGAAATAATACTGTGGACTCCTAAAATGCCCAAGTGTTTTTTGTTTTTGTTTTTTTCTTTTAACTGATAGATGCTAGGCCACGTCTCCTCCATTTTGTACTGCCTAGCTGATGCCAAAAAGTACAAGTATTTATATCAACGTTTTTATGAATATGTCATGAATATGTAGGGAAATACATTCTTTTTTTTTTTTTTTTGACTGGAGTGCAGTAGCATGCTCATGGCTATCCAGCGTCGAGCTGCTGGGCTCCGGTGATCCTTCTGCCTCAGCCTTCCAAGTAGCAGAAACTATAGGTGTGCACTACCATGCCTGGCTAATTTTTTGATACATTGTAAAGACAATATACCAACAAATATATTGTCTCTTGCCCAGGCTGGTCTCGAACCCCTGAGCTCAGACAATCCTCTCGCCTCGGCCTCCCAAAGTGCTGGGATGAAAGGCTTGAGCCATGGCACCCAGTCAGTACATTCTTAACGTACACACAGGTACATTAAGAAAAATAAACATTCTCATATAGAGAAAGTGCTCCTTCATTAGATAAATGTTTATTAGCTCTACAACACAATGGCAGGCACTGTGCTAGACGCTGGGAACAGAAATGTGAACAAGACACATATTATTTCACTGTGATCCTTTTATACAAGATTATGTATATGCAGCAAGGGCTGGAGGGTAAGTAGTAGCTACTCAATAAACTGCTACTATGATGAGATGATGATTATTAGCAAAATATAGTCTCTCAAAAATTCTTACAGATTTTTAAAATGAAAATACTATCATAGTGCCATCAATACTCACCAATACTATAATATCTCTTTAGTTCTGTACGCCTAATCTCCTTTAACTGATTATTTTTTCTCTTCTTTTTCTCATCAGCAATATATTCTTCTTTCACAGCAGTATTGCACTTGTCTTGCTCTAAAATGGCTGTATTAGCATCTTCCTTCCCAGCATGAGTCCTTGAGGTTATGGCTGAAGCTGTCTCTGCATTTTGTTTGGCTTGTTTCTTCTTCTTCAATCTAGGCATGGGGTGGGGGGGAGGAAAAACATTGGAGAAATAATTTGCTGGTAGAAATCATATTAATTTCATGCTGTTGGGCTTTGAAAAGGAATCAACTAATAGAGCAAACACTTTCCTTATAATATTGTTCACTGCATTTTCCTGTTATTTTTTTCTCTTCTAATTATTTACAAATTCTAACATGAAGATCTGTGCGTTTTCCTCAATTTAATATCATCAATAATGTATCTCAGAAAATTATTGGAAATGCTCTAGGCTTGGGGAAAAATGAGATTATTCTGTAGGTGATTAAATATTGAGTATTTTTTTTAAAAGTCAAGATGAACAGTTGCCCTACCATAATGTCATGTTTGGAGGATTATGTTAAAAAGAGAGTGTTTCTGGTTTCAGTGCTACCTTTGGACTGACAAATAAGCACATCTGTAAAAACAAGTCTTTTATAATTGTCTCACATGCCGAGTACAAAGGTTTGGCAAGATGTGAACCGGACCAGGTCCGAGTAATTCCTTTTCTTTACGCATATGACAATAGTACTAAAGACAGAGCTGCATTTCTTGATATAGAAAGTACCATAATGATAAGATATAATTTTCATTATAATTACTAATAGCTGACGGACACATTAGTCAACATATCCGATGTGTTCAATTCTTTACTAGTGACTCAAAAATGTGTAAGAAATGGTTTATCACAATTCACTGAATTCTAATAGCTCAACATAATTTATAAGTCTGTATTTGCTAGTGCTTTTTGAGACTGCTTTTGCCTTACCAGAAAGTAAACTCTTTGGGAACAAGAATGTAAACTCTTTCAGAACACTTTGGCCCCTAATATATATGGCATTCTACTCATATGTAATCATATATTTTAAAATTGGGACCCCTTTCCTGTGCCTAGATAGAAAGTATCTTGTTGCCCCCTCTCCAAAAATGATTCCTACCAGAGAAAAGAGATATCAAAAATTGGTTCTATACAGCCTGAGATATGCTAGTTCTCAATCTTCCGAATTTTTCCACTATATGTTGATTTAAATGCCCTCATTTCACTATCCCCACGATAATTAAACTCACTCAGATCTAGGGCAAGCACTTTCATGAACAGCACTGTTTGGGGACTCATTAGAAACTGGATTTTCACACATGAAAATAACAAAATGGGATACATTGTTTTATTCATTTTTCCCTTTTTCCACAGAGACCTCTGTTGTTAACACATGGAACCAAACACAGTTGCTCCTTCTGAAAAAATGTTAGAAAATAACAATCCCAAGCTTGTTTAACAGCAAACACAATGCAATTTAATACTTCAGAAATTCTACAATCAGCTACTCCTTTTGTTTTGACTAGGGTCCTCAGGAGAATTCATTTCTCTGGAGGTTATCAATATAACTGGAATATTCTGGTCTTTCAACTTGAAATCAGATGCATTTCTAAAAGCCCTCTGTAAAATCCTTCCTTCCAAGCATAGAAATGTATCTTTAATACCCTTTCCAAAGAAGAATAACTGCCAGCTGAGGAATGTGTTATAGTTAATACTCTTCAAGGCATTCCTTTTCAGGGCTTTTATTTTTAGGCTCTGTTGTATTTTCAACAATATGTCTTGGTAAGACATTCTCACGATAGGGATTTGTTATCACTAAGTTAAGGTAAACTGGAAAAAAAAAAGTCTTGCAGAAAAATGACCTCCCTTTATTTCATCTAAGCTTTTTTAATGACCCCATATATCTAGTTATATTGTAGGCTTAAGTGACTGAAAAATAACAAAATACATTTAACATTTTACTGCTGTAAGTACAAGTAAACAACAACAAAACCCCAAACCTTTATTTGGCTTCTGTCTTTCTTTAAAATAGATCCCAATGACATAAAACAAGTGTTTTAAATCGAACCCCTTCCCACTATTGTAACCAAGCCCAGTTAATTCTATCTCCTAAATCTTTCCCTCTCTCATTCACCTTCTCTTTACCATGTCAGGCTTTCAACATCTTGCTGCCTGGGCTACTTTTTATAATATTGTTTATTTTTTCCTGCTTTGTTATGTAATAATTCAAGCTAGAAAATGTAGAACAGTTAAAAAAATAAGACTTAAGTCCGATGCAATGCCATAAAGGAACTTGGAGACTCAGAAGGAAGAGGATGAGAAGGCGGGAGGGATGGAAAAATTACCTATCAGGTACAACATGCACTCATGAGGGTGAGGAGTACACCAAAAACCCAGATTTCTTCACCACCATGCAAAGCAACCATGTGACCAGGAACCCTTCATACCCCTAAAGCTATTGAAAGAATTTAAAAATGCAATGCTAACTCTAAGAAGTCACCACATTAGAGAGAGAGAATGTGAAAGCCAGAAGAAAAGGGAAATGACACCATTCACACCTTCCTGAGGGCAGAAGCCCAAACCGGGAAGCTCAATGCCATGATTCCAGCTTCTTATCTCTATCTTCTCACACTGGAATATTACAGAGCTTTTAAGTTCTGGAATCTCTTGGCCTTTTTTACATTAAGTTGGTGTAAGCACTTGTAGAACACACATATAATATTTTCTCCACTACTGTCCCAGCCCCTGGATAGACTGAAGAAGTGAATATGGTGATATTACTGCTAAGAAAATAAGGTGATTCTGTGGAAGAGTCATTTTCTGTAGCTGAATGAAAATTGGTTTTTTTCTGAAGCTTTATCCTTTACTAGAGAAAATGAGTTCGGGGCACTGGCACTAATCAAAGACAAGGCCTTGGGCAAGTTCCTTTCAGAATCTGCAGAAGTCCCTTATCTTGCCTGCAGACATCCACAAAAAGGCACCAAATGACGTGTTCATTGGTACTTAGGTACTTAGAAGCGAAAGCTTCATGAGGGCAGGGTCTTTTCTTTCTAAATACAAAAAAAAAAAAACAACCCCAACTCCCAGTGCCTATGTATGGCTCACATGAGGTATTCCACAAGTATTTCTTGAGTGAATGAATGCATAAGTGAGCCTGTGTTCTCATTTGGCTGAGATCTGCTCTCCTACAAACATGCCATTTCACAGCTTTCTCTGATTAGCAGCATGTTTAAAAAAAAAATCCATCTCCTTATTTAGGTACTTGATTTGAAAAGAAAATAATTAGCCACATATAATTTAAAATGTATTAAACGGCAGACTTCTTTATGTTAAATTGTGGTTTTATATGACTCTGCTTAATTTTACGATTTGGGATCCATGTGTTTCAATAAAAGTACCGGGCGGGGTGTGGTGGCTCCGCCTATATTCCCAGCACTTTGGGAGGCCAAGGCGAGAGAATTGCCTGAGCCCCAGGGGTTTGAGATCAGGCTGGGCAACTTGGTGAGAACATCTCTACAATAAATCACAAAAACTAGCTGGGTGTGGTGGTGTGCATCTGTAGTTCCAGCTACTTGGAAGGCTGAGGCAGAAGGATCGCCTAAGCCAAGCAGGTCAAAGCTGCAGTGGCCATGAACATGCCATTGCACTCCAGCCTGGGCAACAAGGGTTAGACTCCAATTCAAAAAAAAGAAGTACCATAGATACAAGTATCTAGCATGGCACTGTCCAATACGGTAGCCACCAGCCAACTGACAATGATAATTAAATAAAAACGTAAAATTCAGTTCTTCAGTTGTAAGACACACACTTCAAGACTCATGTCCTATTGTGGGCCGTACTGATCTACAGCTATTGTTAGCACTAATTGCAAAGGACTAGAGGGAAGGGTTGAGATAGTAACAATATTGAAAACGAATTGAGAACATACATAGAATATGTTTCCAAGCGTACACAAAACATTGATAAGAGTTTAGTCTCCAGAAAAAGAAAGTCATTAGGTGGGGGTGAGGGAAAGGAGATTAAGAAACATTACTTTTCACTGCGTTGTTTTGTACCTTTGGAATTGTGTACCATGTACAAACAGGTATTCACAAAATGTTTAAGCATTTCATCTTTGAAGTCCCTTTCCTACCATGAGAATAATTTAACACATGGTCATATCTTTAAAACTTAATTTTACTGTTTCAAAACATGACAAGCTTGAAAGCACTTTCTTCTGACAGGCTACGGAGCTGATGAGAAAACCAGGCACCATGAGACATACTTCACAAATATTAGCCCTTCCTCACAAAAGCCCCACGAGGCAGGCGATTTTACCTCCATTTTACAGATAAAGAAAGGCTGAGGAAAACGAAGGCTGTGTCCCCAAGGCCACTTGGCACAGTTTAGTTGTGGAGCAGGAATTCACACACCTAGGTTACAGCCAGTCGCCCCAGGGCCACCCAGGAGCCCCTTTAAATGCGTTCTGTGGCATATGTGTATAACTTCACATTAAGATAAGATCCACTGGACTTAGGAAATTCTGTAGACGATTTGGAGGCCCAACAATCTCGTGGGCTTCCATGGAGAGTGCATTCACAGAAAGTTTTGAGCCCAGATTTGAGTTCTGGGCTTGGCTCTCTCTATAATCAGGTCTATGAACTTGCTGTGGAAATATGATAAACCCCCTGGGACTTCTAAGCAAACAAAAGCAAGAGGTTAACATGATTGTCAAGGTCCTATCTGGCTCTAACAGTTTGCCCGTGGCTGAGGAGATTAGGAATTGTGCTAAAAATGTTTTGGTTTTTGAATATAAAAAACATTTAAAAAAATATCCAAACCAAACCTTCCCAAGAGTCTTGTATTTCCCTGTGTTGTCTCTAACTCTCGTGTCTGATTACCTTTTCCTTCCACTGCAGAACTTTCAGCCCTGTGAAAGTCCAAAGGTCAAGACAGACAGAACACACCATCCATATGCATATCAAAAACAAAACAAAAAAGGCACCAAAGTCAAACCAACGACAACAAAAAACACTGCTCTATAACTTGGGGCAATAGCTCTAGGAAGAAAAGTAGAAAATGTCAAAATTGACCAACCACAAGGACAATATATAGTCTTCTTTAACACAAAATTTTTCCTTAAAATTGCCTCAGTAGGAAAATTGAGCAACAAAATAAAATATGCAGTGATAACATTAT